TCTCCCCCCACCACTTGCGGATTTTCTTCCAGCTCGACTGCACTCGCATATTTCTCGTTTGGTTAAGAGATTATTCGACGAATATTGGATATCTTTATATATATAATACTATATATATATGTTTTTTTAAAAAATCAATGCATTTTAATGCTACTGTTACAATAATTAGTTCGGGGGTTTCACTTTATTTGTGTTTTTCTGTGTAAAAAACAAACGTTTTACGTTTCAGATCACGATTAGTTCCAACAAGTTTCACCGTTTTGCAGTCAGGCGGTGGATTGCAAACATGAACTAACATTGGGCTGGTTGCTTACTAGAGGATGTAAGGTATATTTAGGAGAGCATTTGGGATTCCTATAGGTTTGTTGCAAACCAATCCTAAGGATTCTGCGTTGGCGGATCACGAATCTCACAGATATGAAGGGTCTCATATTTTAGATGATCCCCTAATATTACAATCCCGTGGGATTCTCAGTAAAGGGGTCTTACACTGGAAACATGTAACCCCTTTTCTTCAGTGCTTTAAACTAAAAACTGGATTAAGCCTCGCTGATCGCCACTGAGAGAGAGAGAGAGAGAGAGAGAGAGTCTGTTTACAGTTCACTGCTGAAGTTCTGTGAAGCACTTTACAACCACTGGATTAACTTTCCCCCCAATATACACACACACCAACACAAACACAGAGAAAGAAAACCATCAGTTTCAGATTAAGGAAGATTTTTTTAATACACACATATATGTATTATATATATATTATATATATAAGTCGTGGTTAAAGCAAGTGCTATTAATATATATATAATATATATATTAATAGCACTTGCTTTAACCGCGACTTATTGCACATTGCCCCTGAAGAGGTCCACGAGTGTAAAAAGGAGTATAACGAGTGTTAAAGAGGAGTAATAAATCAGGGCTGGTCAGCGGGTCCTTGACACCGCCCGGGGATGCGGCACGTGTCGTGGCCGGGGTCCGAGTGCCTCAGAGCGGACAACTGTCCCAACCAGGACCGCCAGCAAAGACAGCTTCATCCCCCCCCCACCCCCCCGTCCTCTTATTTACTTTCTTTCCTGTTTTCTTTTGGTACAGAAACAAGAGTAATTATTATATCCCAATCCTTAACTTTATTGATATATATATGTATATATATATGTGTGTGTGTGTGTTTATATACAACATTCTGCTCCAAATAACTGCGTCCAATTTGTTTTTACTTTGAAATTGAAAAAATACTATAATAAATAATCGTGCCTATGGTTTGATGGCTCTATTATAATGAGAAGCTGATACGATCTCTCTCCCCACCCCACCCACCACCACCCCCTTACTCCCTCCTCCCGTGCAAACATTGATCCTAACAGCAGAATGGTTTTATCAATGAAAGAATGAGCAAAATATGCAATCACCTTCCACCCAGTTGGCACGAGCAGATAGATAGATAGATAGATATCAGAGGCATTTAGACTAACCAGTTAGCTTCGTATGTGCGCCTTAGGTTTGATGATGTAAAAGTCATAATTACTATTTCCATAACATCAAGCAATTTAAGGCAACCCTCCGGCCTTCGAGGGGTTAATAGTAATAAAAGTGTTTGGTACCGTATGTCCCCTAAACCGAGAGGTTGGATTATTCACTCGACTAATTGATTTTTCTGCAGCCTGTGCTGCCCCTTTAATGAATTGATTATGAGTCGGCTGCTGTTCTGCAGTATTGCACAGGTGCTCCAGATGTTAATTGACAGAGGAGAAAATGTTTCTGGGTTGAAAGATATTAAAATCCAGCCACGATCCACGTGTCTTTCGGTTAGTAACAAACCTCTGCATTGCTCACCCTGTGATATGAAGTACGCGCAGTGACACGGGGCACAACGCATTAGCACAACAATATGGAATCTATAGAAAGGCAGTGTCTAAACGTTTAGTCCTGTGACCTCCATCCTTTACTGTTCTCTCTCTCTCTCTCGTTTTTTTTTTTGGTCGCTTCACTTGAATTCCAAGACTTTCTCTTTCCGCCTTTTTTTTTCGTTGCTTTGTTCAATTTTCTTCCCCCAGTTTCATTCATTTCCCATTGTTTCACTTTTCCGCTTCTCCCCTCTGCCCTGGGTTTAGTACTTCCTGTTTCTACTTATAGATTCTTCACACATTTTTTGCTCCAAATCACTCACTTCTTTTTTTTCCCCCAAAAAAATGATTTCCCGTCTTTCCCTCCTATCGTATCTCATATGCTCTCTCTCCCTCTCCCTCCCTTCCTCTCTCTCTCTCTCTCTCTCTCTGTCTCTCTCCTTTTTTTCCTCTCTATTCTTTCCCTGTGATCTGCTGTCTTTTTATCTCGGTCTTTCAGGCAGTTTCTTTCTTGTCCTTAAAGTCTACGTTTCTAGTTCTCTTTGCTTTACATTATCATACTTTCAGCTTCTGTTCTGAGCTTTGCATTGCTCAGTCTCCCTTCCATCCTTGTATCTCTCTCCTACCCTCTCCATTTCTCTCTAATCGGTGTTTAATCTTTGCCTCTCTCTTCTTCTTCTTCTTCTTCTTCTTCTTCTTCTTCTTCTCCTTCTTCACATTTTGTCCCAAAGTGTCGTGTCCCCAACCACCCCTCCCCTCCCCACCCAATTTCTTTGCCGTTTTTACTCTTTTATTTTTTTTGGGAGGGGGGGGGGTTCATTTTACTTTCCCCCCCCCCATTTATTACATTTATTTCAGATACACATGTGATCCTCTCTCTCTCTCTCTCTCTCTCTCTACCCGTTTGCACAGGGCTGATTTATGTCTCTTGCCCTACACACAGGCGACTCTGTAAACCCGCTTCAAACTCGCGAAGGAAGGCGCACAATATTGCATTTTTTTTTCTCTCGAGATGATTAAAATCCTGCCGACGTGACACATGGCAGTGCATTTGAGGTAATTAATAAGATAATGATCACTTTATTCCCCCCCCCCCCCCCCCACCCCAACCCCTTGCTTGGAGTGTGTTCAGAAGCTGAACCGAAGCTGATCCGCCCCGAGCTCAGCTCAAATCAAACTTAAATAGCAAACAGCTTTCCAACGCACTACAAAGCCAATCCATAACTGGGGAATGTCATGCGGATGGGGTTTTTTGTCCTGGCAAAATCGCTAAACACGAATGGTTTCCAATACACTCCTCCCCCTGCACAGAAGAAAAAAGCCCCAGAAATAAATCCCTATGAAATTAGCAATCCGGATCGATAAGGCAAGAGTTTTAAAACTGTATTAGCAACAGGGTCCCAAAGGGTGGGTGTGGGGGGGGGAGAAAAAAAAACTTACAGCCCAGCGAATCTCGCCTTGGCGAAGTGTTCAATATCACATCAACAATTCGAAGGCTACGAACTGCGCTCTGAGCTAATATTTCACATTAATAAGCACACCTCAGTGAGGCACTTATTTTTGCACAGCAATCGCTTGTGTTGCGAATTAAATTGTGCAAACCGATTAAAGAAAGAAAAACCCAACACACGTAACTTTGCTTTGCTCTGCAATTCTCTCTCTCTCTCTCTCTCTCTCTCTCTCCTTTCCCCCAGAAATCATACTTGAAAGACAAACGATTCGATTTCTAATTTCTAGAAATTTCCGCTAGATTTAATATACGAATTTATAACCCACCGAAATGTAACAAGACGGGGAAATAAATTGTCAAATGACTTTGCTCTTCAAAACAATGGGTGGGCGATTATCAGACATCAAATACCAGAAAGATGAGCCATAAAGCGATTAGGTACGCTACATACAGGTTTAATATATTGATTCGGAGAATTTCAATTCAGGAACTTGCTTTGCTATAATCCGCATTTATTACAACCTCGTATTTAGCGTGATCGTGTAGATATATTATTTCAGAACAGGCACAGGAGTCGCAAACAGTGGGGGACACACAACTTGATCATAAATTTGCTAATCACAAGTTTAGACACAGGGCGAGAGAAAAAAAAAGTGATAATGAGTTGGGTTATGAGGACACCAGTGCTTAGTGCTTTTCACACCACTTATTTACCAACGTGCCGCGGGGCTGACAGATTCTGTGTGGGGTGTTTTTTTAATTGCGTTACGCTGTCTTTGATGTAAAAAGGGTGACCCTTACAACTGTTTGAAGCCCATTACGAACATTTCCCCCCACCCCCATCCCACCCCTCCATTCTAAACTGTAATGTACTGCCTTACAGTACGCGCGCGTGTGTGTGTGTGTGTATGTGTGTAGTACATATGTGTATATATAAAAAAACTTCAATTAGAAAAGGCAAACTTATTTTAATATACCAGGAATGTCAGCATCAAAAGTGGAGAGTAAAAACATTTGTGCTCACGTCACTGAAACTAAGCATCTGCTTAAACAAAGTATATCAATGCCTGGGAGGGAAAGTTTGGTCACAACTCTTACACACACACACACAAACATATATATATATATATAACTACATCAAATAGATTATTTTTTAAAAAAAGTTGTTGAGTTTGCGTTTTGCCAAGTTTGGGATGATTTCCTTTCTGGTTTTAGTTTTTTTGTTTGCCAGTTATCAGCTCCAAAACAAAATGCAACTTATTCCCCACCCACCCCACCAGAAGAAGAAAAAAAGAAGAAAAGAAGCGAGAAATCCTATCAACCAACTTTTTTTAAAAAGGAAAAAAAAGTGGGAGGCGAGTGAGCTCTCTCTCCCACCCCCTCTTTAAAGCATTTTGGGGGCAGGCGTGACCGTGTGTGTGTGTGTGTGTGTGTTTTTCTCTCTCGTGTGCCGGAAAACCAGTACTGATTGGCGATGGTGAAATGCGACTTGAAAGCAATTGAAATAAAAAAGATCTCGACGTCAGTAAATAGATTTGGGTGTGGAGGGGGGGGGGGGGAGGGAGAGAGGGAGGAGGAGAGGAGAGAGGGAGGAGGAGGGGGGAGTGAGAGAGAGAGAGAGAGAAAAAAGACAACGCTCTAATGTGACAAAGGCAGAGAGAGAGAGAGAGAGAGAGAGAGTGAAAGAGAGAGAGAGGGGGAGAGAGAGAGAGAGAGAGAGAGAGGTTGACTTTTTTGGGGGAAAAAAAAAGCTGGTGGCGGACCCTAAAAGAAATAGGAGGAGCTTAGTTAATACGAGAAATGTCAATCAGGCCATCAACTCCGAATAATCTCCACGAATCTGTTAGGACCTGACCTGGGCAACCCTCAGATCAATAGCAAGTTGAGAGAGAGCGATCGGATCTGTTACAGTGCGTCTGCATGTGGAAACGTATACTTTCGACTGAGTCCCCTTCCAGCACTCAAAGGTGGACGCTCCCCGCACGGCGATTCCTCCCGCAAAACAATCACGGACCATGTCTTTCCCGCAACTGGGATACCAGTACATTGCTGCTGCTGCTACTAGGCCACTTTACCCCGATCGCCAGGCGATCTCGTCTGCCAGAACTGGAGGCGATCTCACCGCGTCGGGCGCTGCCTCTACTGTACTGACCATGTATGGATCTCCTTATGCGGCTCAAGGATACGGCGCTTTTCTGCCTTACGCTGCCGATCTCCCCATGTTTCCACAACTGGTAAGAAAAAAAATGTAAATCAATTCACTCTCTCTCTCTCTCTCTCTCTCTCTGTGTGTGTGTGTGTGTGTGTCTCTGTCTCTCTCGTCTTTTAAACCTGGTAAAAATATCTTTTTTTTCAAAAAATATATATATTATATATTGTGCATATATATATATATATATATATATATATAGAAAAGTTTGTAGGTTGCGATTGTCCTGCCTTCTTTCTCCTCCCTCTCCACACACACACACACACACAAAAAGAAACCCAGAGGAGTTTAGGGACGGTGGTAAAATTACAAGGATTTTTAAAAAAATATATATATATACATACATAATAAAAAATAAAGATATATAAAAAAAAACTCATCGCTTTCAGATTTTTTTTTTTTACTGCCGACTTTCCCCCCTTTTGCAAAAGTTTTCAAGTCAGTTTCCGAAGCTGAGTTTGTCCATTTCACTCGTGTGTAGTGTGTGTGTCGTGTGTAGTGTGTGTGTAGGGTTTTATTTTCTTGGTGGGTCGATGTCACTTTACTCGCGTTTGATTTTCTATTTGGACGGGAGTGGGGGGGGGGGGGTTTCTTTTAGTTTTGTTGGTAAAAGTTTCTCCCTTCTTTTGGTACTTACATCCCAAACCCCCAAAACACGCACACACACACACATCCCCACCGCCCATAACGCACACACACTCCCCTGCGTTGTTTTTTTGTTCACACTCACTCTGCATTCAAACGATCGAAAGTTGTGCACAGCGCCAACTTAAATAATTAATTGCAATTAACTTTACAGTTTATTTCTTCTCCCCCCCCCGGCACCCCCCACCCTCCCTCCCTCGCCTCCCTCCCCCACAACCTCTACCCCCCCCCCCCCCCCCCGTGTGTGTGTGTGTGTGTGCTTCAGGGTGCCCAGTACGAACTGAAGGACAGTCCCGGAGTCCAACACCCAGCCTTCGCTCACCATCACGCCGCCTACTACCCATACGGTCAGTACCAGTTCGGCGACCCGTCCAGACCGAAGAACGCCACGAGAGAGAGCACCAGCACCTTGAAAGCCTGGCTGAACGAGCACAGGAAGAACCCCTACCCCACCAAGGGCGAGAAGATCATGTTGGCCATCATCACCAAGATGACCCTCACCCAAGTCTCCACCTGGTTCGCCAACGCGCGCAGGCGGCTCAAGAAGGAGAACAAGATGACCTGGACCCCCAGGAACCGGACCGACGAGGAGGGGAACTCGTACTCGAGCGAGCCCGACCTGGAGGGCGAGAAGAAGGACGACGACGAGGAGATCGACCTGGAGAACATCGACACCGAGCGCATCGAGAGCAAAGGCGACGACTACGAGCACGACCCGGACTTGAACCTGGACTGCAAGTTGGACGGCGCCCGGAGCGACTCCGAGATCTCGGACGCTTTCGAGGACTTGGCCGGTTCCGAAGACGGTTTCGTCAAGTCTGTGGTGAAAGACAGCAGAGAGGCCGGGGGTGGGGGTGGGGGTGGGGGTGGTGGGGGGAGGGAGGAGGAGGAGGAGGAGGATGAGGATGAGGGCAAACGGGGCGAAGACATCTCGGGGCAGTGCAGCTCCGAACAGGGCAGGAGCACCGCCGAGAGGAAAAGCCCGAGTTCGCCGCCGTCCGACTTGTCCTTGAGCCAAAAGCCGAAGATCTGGTCTTTGGCCGAAACAGCCACCAGTCCGGACAGTCCCCGCAAGTCCCCCCACGTCGGCGGCTCCCCCGTGGGTCCCGGGACCCCCTCTCTGCTGGGACAACACAGACTGTTCGCCTGCCCCATGGGCAAGTTTCAGAACTGGACGAACCGAACCTTTTCTCACCACCACCACCACCACCACCACCATCACCCCCACCCTCACCCCCACCCTCACCCCCACCCCCACCCCCACCCCATGGCTTTGATCAACTCCAACCATTTCCTGGGACTCAGCGCTGCCCAGACGGCGCCGGCAGCCGCTCTGCCCGCGTTTTGTACAGTGAGAGGCGAGGAGCAGACGGCGGAGCACACAGTGACAGGTACAACACAGCACTCACACCACCACCATCACCACCTCCACACACACAACACAGCACTCACACCACCACCATCACCTCCACCACCACCACACACAACACAGCACTCACACACACCACCACACACACAACACAGCACTCACACACACCACCACACACACAACACAGCACTCACACACCACCACCACCACCACCACACACACAACACAGCACTCACACACCACCACCACCACCACCACACACAACACAGCACTCACACACACACCACCACCACCACCACACACACAACACAGCACTCACACACACACCACCACCACCACCACACACACAACACAGCACTCACACACACCACCACACACATAACACAGCACTCACACACACACCACCACACACACAACACAGCACTCACACACCACCACCACCACACAACACAGCACTCACATACACACCACCACCACCACCACACACAACACAGCACTCACACACACACCACCACCACCACCACACACAACACAGCACTCACACACACACCACCACCACCACCACCACCACACACAACACAGCACTCACACACACACCACCACCACCACACACAACACAGCACTCACACACACACCACCTCCACCACCACCACACACAACACAGCACTCACACACCCACCACCACCACACACACAACACAGCACTCACACACACACCACCTCCACCACACACACAACACAGCACTCACACACCACCACCACACACAACACAGCACTCACACACCACCACCACACACAACACAGCACTCACACACACCACCACCACCACCACACACAACACAGCACTCACACACCACCACCACCACCACACACACAACACAGCACTCACACACACACCACCACCACCACACACACAACACGGCACTCACACACCACCACCACACACACAACACAGCACTCACACCACCACACACAACACACAACACAGCACTCACACACCACCACCACCACACACCACACAGCACTCACACACACACCACCATCACACACAACACAACACACACACCACCACCACCACACACACAACACAGCACTCACACACCACCACACACACAACACAGCACACACACACCACCACCACACACAACACAGCACACCACCACCACACACAACACAGCACTCACACACCACCACACACACAACACAGCACATACACACCACCACCACCACACACAACACACACACACCACCACACACACAACACAGCACACACACACCACCACCACACACACAACACAGCACTCACACACCACCACCACACACAACACAGCACACACACACCACAACACACAATACAGCACACAACACAGCACACACACACCACAACACACAATACAGCACAGAACACCACACACAACACCACACACAACACACACAACACCACACACACAACACCACACACAACACCACACATACAACACCACACAACACAACACCACACACAACATACCACACCACACACACAACACCACACACAACACACTCACTCAAGTCAAGGCAAGTCAGTTCCCAAAGCTGGCTCACACACACACACACACACAAACACACACCCACACACAACACACACACACACACAGCGAACCTGGCAAGACAAACAGTTAAGTTTGCAAAGGAAAGGATATTCTCTTAAGAGAGAGAGAGAAAGAAAGAGAGAGAAAGAGAGAGAAAGAGAGAAAGAAAAACGATTGTGTTAATCTTTTCTCGTTTGGGGGCTTTTTTTTTAGATCTACAAATATTGAATATAAATATTTTCATACGTTCACATTGGAAATGCAACCGTTTAAATCGGAGACAATCTCGAGAAAGACTCAGATTAATTCCAACGTCTGCCTATGTCCACGCAAAATATTCTCCCTCTTCCCCCTCCCCTCCCCACTCCCAGCTTTTTTCTTGAATCAATCATGTGAGCTGTTCGAATTTCCTTCTCTCCTAAAGTACTATTGGTCATCTGAAACTACACACAAGCTCTAACTATCGCAAGATGCAATAAATTAACGGGGGTAATGATTTTTTTTTTTGAAATGGGCAAAATTAAATTTATGCTAAACTGATCTCCAGCACCAGGTGAAAAAGGAGAATTTATAATTTGATTGCAATAACTTTTCCAATAAGTATTCGATGACAAATGCTCATTATAACGAGACAGCGCTCACCGTATCCCATTTTCACATCACTTCATCTTTTAAAGTCGATGTAATTGATAATTGTTCTGCAACCGACTGAATTTCAGCTGGTTTTTCTCTGCGCGAAAAAATAAAATAAAAACAAACCGACTCCACGGGGGCGAGCAGCGATTCTAAAGACTCACATTATCGTTTGCAGATCGGAGCGGTGTCTTGGAAATAGAGAAAAAAATAGTAAAGACAGCTTTTCAACCGGTTCAGAGACGGTAAGCAATCTATTTCATTCCTGTATATATCCACCCCACATTTACTGTCTGAACATATACAGTTGCTCTTATACCCCCATTTGGACGAGGGCATTTCTGCAAGGCACAGGCGTAGCAATTCATAAGATTACTTTTCGCCACATTTGGTCCTGGTTTCAAAAACTTAGACGGCCCCCCAAAAAAATGTGCAAAATCTAAGGATACGGATGCAAAACTTTCTGTCACACACAAAAAAATTGCAAACACTGATCCACAATAATGTTATTCCTTTCAGACCCCAGAATCAACTGGATGCTGCCATGGTTTTGTCGGCGCTCTCCTCCGCATAATCCATTTTTTTAAAAAAAAAACTAAAAAAAACTTTATTTTGTAAACCATTTTCTTGTTAAATGGAATGTAAAAATGTTTTTTTTTTCTCCTCCCCACCCACCACCACCACCCCTCCCCCTGTACAGTTTAACCTGTAAGCATGTATGTGTATTAAAATAAAATTGGTAATGTAATACTGGCCGACAAGGCGTGTATTAATTAGTTGAGTTTGTGATCTTAAGTGGAAACCAGATTGTTTTGTAAGTCGAGTGAGAGTTTAGGTATCCAGTGTTCAAACTGTTTTGTATATACCGCAAACAAAATGTACATACGTGTGAACGAAATTGTACAAGAAAGTATATATTTTTGGCTAATAAATGAGCAGTACGACTTTATCTTTGTATCTGTATTTTACAAAGCCTATGCAATGGGTAGTAGCCATCAGTACAAACGTGACAGTGTTATTTCCATCACTAGACACCACGCAGCTTATCATCACTTTGTGTGTGTGCGTGTGTGCGTGTGTTTTTAAACCAATTGATTGACCCAAAGTTGCCTGTTCCAGCATTTTTGTCCAATGTTACGGCGGATGCAATGTTGCTGTGTTAAATATGTGTATCGATCGCCACAGGAGAAGATTACACGCGGCTTCACTCCAAACTTTTAGCTACAGTCTATTTCAGACCATTTCTTCCGAACGTGTTGATTTTACACACCGCTGACTAACTAACCCCAGTATCGTTTGCCAAATGCGAGCGTAAATTGTTTTTTTTTAATAATAATAATAATAATAATATTTAAAAAAAACGTGACTATCTAATCTCTCTGTCCTAAACACTTCCCAGGTCTAAAAAATCCAAACTGTTTTAAAGTGCGGCTGTCGTTGCATTTTTAATCTCACACTGGCATTTAGGCAAAAATATTTATGATACTAAAACACTGCATCCAAACGCAGCTTCGGCGTTTGTTTAACTTTGATGCAATGTTTGCTTAAACGATGCTTCCAAAAGTATTGCATTGCAAGTCCCCATTCAAATACCAAATACCGTGACCGGACAGAACCAATTTAAATGCATAATCGTTAAATATAATTGTGATTAAACACCTCGGCGATGTTTTAATACGAAAGGCTTCAATAATATAATGAACAAATGACTTGTATAATAGCAGACCCTAAAGGGCAGAGTCTGCTGGCGATGCGCTGAGCATTAGACCTGAGAGAGAGAGAGAGAGACAGAGACAGAGAGAGGAAAGTCAGGCTAACAGCGCCTCCTGCAGGTGACGGAGTCGCTATGCCACACAAACAACACACACACAGAGAGAGAGAGAGAGAGAGAGACAGACAACTGGCACAAATTAATGCTGGTGCTTCATGGGGAGAAAAAGAGCCATAAAACGGCAGCTGCCTAATTCACTCCCGCTACGTTCAAACTAGTCGTTTTGTAAAGTTTTGATGGGGCTGTGCCAAAAAAAAAAAAAATTATTAACTTTTATATATCACTGTTTAGGGTTTCCCAGCGCTCTGGAGCGATTCGGTCCAAACTTCCCATTTACTTACCCTCTCGATGTTTGTTAACCTGACTGTGGATTATTCAAAGCATCGAGGTCACAAGGCAGACTTCAAATCGTTCCCCAACTTTGCACGGTTTATTCCCTGGGTGTTAAATTAGTTTATTATTATTATTATTATTATTATTATTTTCTCTCTCTCTCCTCTCTCTCCAGTGATTTGTCAATTTCGAAACAACAACAAAATAGCGGAAATGTTGTTTTTTTGCCCCCCCCCCCCCCAAAAAAATGTAACACACCGAATTGTTTTTATTTTTTTTACACACAGGTCAGTCAGTATCGGTCGTTCACTGTTTGACATATTTACAATCACAAAAAGAAATAGGGAGTTCTGCACCCAGAAAAAAAAATTGTGGGAGAGGTGATAAGGACTATATCAAATGCGAGGATTATTATTATTAAATAAAAGAGAGAGAGAAAGAGAGAGACGCCAAATGAGTTACTTACGACATCGAAATGATTAGCCCAAGTTTTATGCGCGTTTCTAAAAAAAAACACTCGCCTTTCCCTTTCAAACTTTATCAATAATAAATGACGCTAACAGTCCTCTTTACATATTTTAATGGCAATGTCTCGTTGCCAGATATCCTGTGAGGTATTTGGAATACTTGGCTCTGTGCTTTGCAAATGATTCATCGCCATATTACAGTCCGCGCAATGAATTTCGTTCAACTTTTTTTTGAGGGTCAAAATAACAAATACGATTTAAACGCCGCGATCTCTGGGATATTCCGAAGTGGTGCAATTTACAGCAACTGCGGGAACAGCGAGACTTTAATCCGGGGCTCATTCTGTGACTGAACTCTCACTCTCTCTTTTTTGTTGTTGTTGTCGTTGTTGTTGTCGTTGTCGTTGTTGTTGTTTTCTGCGGATTTTCCAAGCGGATAACAATTCTGCGGAATATATATATATATTTTCCCCCCTCCCGAATGCGTAACGAAGCGCACGTTTCGTTACCGAACTCGTTCAAGGACTATTTGAAGTGCAATCATTTGCCTGAGTCAAACTTTATTTTTTTTTTGGGGGGGGGTGGGGGGTTAAAGGTAATGGGGATAAACTTAGCGAGTTATTTAAAAAAAACAGGAGAACATTGCAACCCGAAATTGCAGTGGTTCAGGAGAGTGGTTAAACTCCTGAGAGCTTCGCCAATGATCTCTGGCGGATCAGACGCGGCTGAGTTGAGGTGAGACAGAATTAGTTATCCAGAGGCGCAGAAAACCAACACATTCGGACGTGTGAGAAATATAACTGCGATGTGTATTCATTTCTAAATAGATCTGTGCGTCAAAAACACAAGCAAAGAGGGGGGGGGGATTTTATATCTCCAAATATAAAAAAAGAATCGACAATTGCCACTGTATGTTCGCAGTTGCGAAATCCAGTTAATATTCAGGGGTGGTGTGGGGGGGGGTGGGGGGGGGGTGAAAGTTGGCTGGTGATTTTGGGGCTCGGTGCGGATTTTTAATTCAACTCTTCGGAGATGATGGCTAAGCTGTTTGGCCGAGGTGCCTGGTTTCTGTGAGCGTTTCAGTTCAGTTTAAATGGCACAGAACTCGCTCACCAGATACTTGACTGCAGTCTGCAATCACAGCTAAACAACGAGGGTCACTTCTCTCTGTGTCTCTCTCTCTCTCTCTGTCTGTCTGTCTGTCTCGCTCTCTTTTCTTTCTCTTTCTCTCTCAGGCTCAATGCCAGCCAAGCTGACACCTTTGTGCTGTGTACCAATGGCTTCGGCTTCTTTTTTTGTGTGTGTGTGTGTGTGGGGTGGGGGGGGGGGGGGGTGGGGGGTGAGTTAAAATGCTACAATTAAATCAGAAGCACTTCGAGTGGCTTTGGCAGTTCATTTTGCGAATCCGCTTTTTCAGGGTCTTGCGAGTGTGCGGAAACTTTTAACTCAGAGCTCAGATCAGATCCTAACGATGCCAGACTCTGTGTGTGTGTGTGTGTGTGTGTTTTGTGTGTGTTTGTATGTCTTGTGTGTGTGTATGTATGTGCAGAAATCCTCACCTCTCACCACATCAGCACAGCAACCCAGACTGGCAACAGAATTAGGAACTTTATTATTTTCTTTTTCTATCAAAACATAATCATTTCCCCCCTTTTGTTCCCCCTCTTGTGTGTGTGTGTGTGTGTGTGTGTGTGTATTTTCTCTCCCACCCCCTCTTCCCAATTTTATTGGCAACGATTCAGAGTTCTTGGGTGCATTTCGACAGGGTGATGCGGATTTTCAACCCAGCGCCCAGCGAATGGCGCAATTCGGGGTAGCCAGTGAACGCACACTCCAGTCCAGCTTGAAGGCTTTGTGTTTCGGGGAGGAGGGGGATTGGGGAAATATTCATCAAAACTGGGGAATTCTTTGCTTTTGGATAAAGTGGTCAAACCAGCCTCCAGCCCCTGACAGCCATTCTCAGTCTGAGTCTCTCTCTCCCTCTCTCTCTGTCTGTCTGTCTGTCTGCCCATCTCGTTTTATCTCTCCCTCTCTCCCTCCTTCTCTCTCTCTCTCTCCCTTAGCCCCTTCCCGTCTAATCAATTATCCCCCTGCTATTCCTGTTAAAAAATTGAGCACTCATTACGCATATTCATAAATCACCCCTCGCTAGGCTGACAATGATTGATGGAAACATCTTTTTTTTCTCTCTCCCTTTTTCACACTTTTCCCAACTAGTTTGGCTGATTTAAAACAACACACACACACACACACACACACAGACACACAAACGAGGACATCTCTCAAGAATAAATGGAATTGGAATAAAGCAGCGGGGTCTAAAAATGCATACATCCACTGGGGCATAAAGGGGTTCTTTTTTTTTGGGGTGGTGGGGGGGAATAGTTTGGGCCCAAACTTTTGTTCCAGCCACAGAATGTAAAATGAATCTGGAAGGGTCTGGTCGGAGCATTTGCTCCAGAGGGTTAGTTGGAAGTTGGACAATGCCGGGCATTGAGTTTTCGGTGGGTTTAATTTGCTCCTGAGAGAAAACACGGTTTAAGATTACGAAAACGATTTAAAACCCAGTCTTTTTTTTCTAAAAAAACTATCAAATCCATCTTCTGCATTCCCCTGCTGCAATCCAGCAGTTGGTAAAAGACACACAGAAACTCGGGCTCTTGAAATTCACCTGTTATATTGACAAGAATAGTAACTTGGTGCTGTGTTGGTTGATTTCGTGGGGATAACATTTGAGCTGTTAAGAGTGTTTGACTTGCTGTTTGTATGATCGTTTTGCAAAATACGAAATTCTCCCCCAAACCCAAATCGTTGCCCATCAAATAGGAAGGAAGGGAAAAAAAACAAAAGGGGAAAAAAATGTGGGGTTGGTTTTTTTTTTGGAGGGGAGGGGGGCGGGTGAGAGAGAAAACATAAAGTTCATATTTTGCAAAATGTTCACACAAACAAACCATCCGGTGAAACAAACACAATTTCACAGCTAAAATGCTGGGTGCTGTTTGGACTGTCTAAAGTGCTCAATGTTTTTAGGGAAACAGATGGGGAGGGTTT